TGAACACGATGCTTTATATATTTCAATGTGCATGTGTAGTTCTATGGTATAACGGAATGATATCTTTTCATTTAAAATTATATATCAATACCACTGGGGCCCATGCACGATTTAAGAAAAGAATACCTATGTTCCCCGAACCACGGGATCCGCCACAATTCTATGGTCTATATCTGTATAAATGTATATTTGTTACATCAGGGAACGAGCATCGCTGGCCAACGTAACGATTATGTTAAATAAAACATGTTCCACGAAGGGTGCTTCTTTAAAAACAACATTCTCTCATTCATTTATCCTTTCAGAGAGTCACCACAAGCTGTTGATCAGCGCTGTTGTTGGAGGAGCGGCGTACCTGTTGTTGATCATCGCTGTCTCAGCTGCAGCTGGTGTTTGTTGGTAAGATGAACGGACACTGATATAGTCCAAGAGTACTAAACTGCATACGTTGATACACGTAAAGACAAACCCTCCAGCTGGTCATTAATTCAACTGGATTTCATTAAACGCTTATGTTTCTAGGTGCACAAGAAAGAACAGAACAGGCTCCAACCGTTTAGCGCATCATTCACAAGGTAACACATATTTTTGTAATAATTTAATAATTTAATTAAATTCTAATTTCGTACGTGTGTGTGTGTGTGTGTGTGTGTGTGTGTGTGTGTGTATGTGTGTGTGTGTGTGTGTATGTATATATGTGGATGTATGTACGTATCCTGTCATAGCCTCATAAGTTAATTGAATTCGTAGTTTCGTATGTATGTATGTATGTATGTATGTATGTATGTATGTATGTATGTATGTATGTATGTATGTATGTATGTATGTATGTATGTATGTATGTAGAACCAAATTAAAAACTTCACAATCCTAAAATTTTAACATTTTGACCAGTTATCATTGTGGGCCCTTATTATGTATTTAAACAGTAATGGCCACGTATTGTCTTCAGATAATACCCGTTGTTGTGCAGGTGAATCGATCAAAATCATGTGCACAGCACTATAGTGGCAAAAGTGGTTTTACACGTGCAACTGGTCACGTGGCCATAATACCGCACGTGTTTCAGCCATACTTGTTAGCAGTCATTAACACAAAAAAAGAAAAACACAAGATTACAAAAGTCTTTACGGCCATTTGTCATGCCACGCCTTTCAAATGTTCAACGTGAACGTGCCATCGGCATGTTGCAGACAGGAACGTCCGTAGCTGAAGTCGCAAGGACGATGGGTTGTAGTCGAAGGACTGTTTATGATTTACAGACGCGTCTACACAAACGGGTACCACCGCTGATCGCCCTCGGCCACGTCGACCACGTTTGACGTCACATGCAGAGGATCGTCAGATTGTCTTACGTCACCTCCGTAACCGATTTTTGACGGCTACATCAACCAGAAATGAACTGTTTAGGGGTAGACTGAGTGCGCAAACTGTTCGAAACCGTCTGATAACTGCTCACCTTCAAGCACGACGGCCATACCGCGGGCCGATTCTGACTCATTTACACAGACGTCAACGTCAATTGTGGGCACAGCGACACTTACGATGGACTCAGGGGAATTGGAATCAAGTCGTCTTCAGTAATGAATCCCGATTTAATCTTCGATTTGCTGATGGTAGGGCGAGGGTGTGGAGGCGCCGTCATGAACGTTACGCCCAGTGTTGTGTACAGGAAGTTGACAGATTTCGAGGCGGAAGTGTCATGGTGTGGGGTGCTTTCTGTGGCAATGCACGTTCCAGGCTTCTTGTCATCCGTGGCAACCTGAACGCTGCTGCTTACCGCGACCAGGTACTGGCACCAGAACTTCTGCCTTTTATGGCAGCACATGGACCCAGTTTGATCTTCCAACACGTTAATTCCAGACCCCACACAGCAATTTCGACAAGAATTTTTCTTAAGAATGCGGGAGTCAACGTCATGGACTGGCCGTCAAGGTCTTCTGACCTCAATCCCATCGAACACGTCTGGGATGCTCTTGGCAGAAGTCTGCGCACTCTCTAGAACCAACCACAGAATTTGCAAGATCTTGGCACAATTTTGCAGCAACAATGGCGTCGTCTTCCCAATCATGTGTTCACAAGCATCACAAGGTCCATGCAGAGGCGTTGTGTGGCAGTTGTCAACGCACATGGTGGCCATACACGCTACTGAACTTGTGTGCCATCAGATTCTCGTGCTTGGGACTTATGATTTAAACTGTTGATGCTATTACCGAATACCGTAGGTGCTTGGAACAAATTATGGTTACCGCCGTTAATTAAAATCCTTCTTTGGACATTAATGATTAAAAATTACCTTCTCTGATACATTTGTCCGTTGTATATCAGATATGGGATAACTTTTAGAAATGTGAAGTTTTTAATTTTAATTAGGATATGTATGTATGTATGTATGTATGTATGTATGTATGTATGTATGTATGTATGTATGTTTGTATGTATGTATGTATGTATGTCTATACATATACTCTTCAAAACAAGAAACTTGACATAGATGTAAAACCACTTTTTGCCAAATATCTAAAATAATTACGTTAAATGAGAACCAAATAAGTCAAACAGAAAGATGATGTGTCTATAATTAGCGAAAACACATGCAAAGCACATAAACGCAGCGTTTGGGGATCAATGTTACAGCTTCATCCAAACGCAACCGCCTGTAAAAAAACGTGCAGCACAGGATTCTGCATTTAGGCATGCAGGCCCCCCTGCTGAATGGGTATAAAAATCACATCAACGGCTGTTCATACAGTCCTTATAACGGCAGTATAGGCGGTGACAGAATGCCAAGACTGAATGCAGCTCAACGGAACAGCGCCATTGGGAGATTACAAGCTGGAGCAACTCAGCAAGAAGTGGCCAGGCACTTTGGCGTATCCAGACAGACAATCTCCGCACTGTGGACCCGATACAACAACACCAACAGAGTTGACCACAGACCAAGTTTAGGAAGACCAAGGGTGACAACCAAGCACAAGGTCGATACATCCGGCTGCGACACCTCCGAGACCGCACTACCACAGCCACGTCTACAACCACACAGACCCCTGGGGTACGCAGAATATCAGATCAAACGGTACGCAACAGACTGAGGGAGGCTGGACTTTTTTCACGAAGACCTGTTCGACGTCATGTATTGACCCCACGTCATCTGGCGGACCGTCTGCTTTGGTGCAAACAGAGGGTTAGATGGACACGTGCAAGGTGGAGAAATGAACTGTTTACTGACGAGTCCCGTTTCCTACTCACACGTGTTGATGGGCGCGCACGTGTTTACAGACGTGCAGCAGGTTGTCCCATTTGGCGGCGGGGGTGTCATGGTATGGGCCGGAATTCATCACGGTGGTAGGACGCCTCTCGCATTGACAGGTGTGCGTTACAGAGACTTGATCCTACAGCCTTACGTTCTTCCTCACGTCAACGTTCATGGCGGACAGTTCCAGCAGGACAACGCTCGACTACATATTGCACGTGTTTGTCAGGACTTCTTACAGCACAACATCAAGACATTACCTTGGCCAGCCCGGTCACCAGATTTGTCCCCGATTGAGCATCTGTGGGACGAGTTGGATCGACGCGTTCGCAGAAGGAATCCACCGCCCCAAACACTTCCGGCGCTTCTTGATGCACTTCAGGATGAATGGCAGCACATCCAACAGCGTGTTATTGACAACTTGATTGCATCTATGGGTCGTCGTTTTCAAGCGGTGATTGATGCACGTGGTGGGCACAACCGATACTAACATTTTTAGTACCCCTGTGACATTAACTGTATCGTGTAAGTGTGTCTGTCTAGGTGACACGATTAATGTTTTGAACATTTTGTACATTGATCTGCAAACAGTGTTTCAATTATGGTTTCTGTGTCCAATTTTGAAAGAATCGGATTATATTACATTTTGAAAGTCAGTGTCAAGTTTCTTTTTTTGAAGAGTATATATATTTGGGTGTCTGGATGTGTTGGTGTGCGTGTGTATGTGGCGACAAGTACATCTTTACTTATCATTATCATATCAATCCTGAACTAATTAGAGACTCAGCTCCTATTTCTTCCTCTGACTAAAAACATGAGTAACGTAAGTATCACACTGACTGAAGCAAACTCTTTCAGGAACTCCGAGAGCAAATCACAATTACGAAAACCATGGCACATCCGAACGGTCCACCGAAGTGGAGGTGGACAAACTGCATGACAAGATCAGGGAGTTGTTAGAGGAAGCTGGTGGTGTTCACAGTGAATTCCACGTAGGCACTATATATTGGTAGTATCATATATGATGAAAAAGATAGCTTTTTCAGGAATGATATATCGATGTGACTCCTTTATTTATCGCAATACTATAATCAATTACCTATTAATGGATAAAAAATGTAAGGTAAAAATTGACAAGGTTTTGCATTATCAGGAATCTAAGTTCAAAATATGTATCTTTCATTGTTTGAAAGAAACTTCCGTTTGATCACACATGTAGTTCCAGATAAATCCTGCAAAAATGTTCCAGCGACTTTCTGTTGGTGCCAATCGACCTCAGCTAAGATCTCGACGGAAGGGAAACAGAGCCAAAAACCGTTATAAAGACCTCTATCCTTGTAAGTAATGCCATGCACAATGTTTGTGGGTCTGCATATAGGTATAAACTGGGAACCATTGGTCATTGGGCATGAGGCGTTTCTTGTTACAGCACGTTACTGGCTGATCTGTAACAAAGAAGATACGTTATTTTGTGAAGCGATGCACATACTTGCATATGAAGCCAGCAGACTAAAAAACATCTCGCAAATGTTTCCATCGATTACTTTTACATTTTTACAAAGTTACAACATATCACTTTTGACTAAATGCGTCTCTTACCTTAAGCATCTAAACATGTTTATTCTGATTTAAGACTTAACTCATTTAAGACATTACATTTCAGATGATTTCAACCAAGTACAGCTGACGAAACTGCACAGTGATCCTCTCTCTACCTATATCAACGCTAACTACATCAATGTGGGTTAATGATTAAACACTTGCACAATTAGTGAAATGAGACAACACACATATAAACAAACGACTAATTGACAACATATCCATTTCAGGGATATTTCAAACCTCAAGCGTACATTGTGACTTAAGGTATGTGTAACATTCTTTCCTGTAACGGTGCTCCATTGATTTTAATTCAAAGCACGGAAGTGTGATATTAAGATGTTTTATCATGCCAGCACAGCACAGATTAAGTACCTCCCACATTAAGCTGAAATGCCGTGATATGGAATAATGTTCAAAGTGGCGTTAAACTCACTCACTCAAAGACACAGCAGATTTATTGATAGTTATGAATTTACACTATCCTTCCATGTTCATCCTGATGCATAAGTAAATGCAAAATGGTATCAACTTTAATGATATGCATAACCTGATGCTAACCTCTTGCCCAGGGCCAAAACAGACAACTGTTGACGACTTCTGGCGAATGGTCGTTGAGAAGGGGATAACTAGAGTGGTTATGCTGACCAACCATGTAGAGAAGGGCGTGGTAAGCCATGTTGCACGAACACTACACATGTTTATATCCTCACTATGTCTGAACCGTGGATGTGTATAAAACAATTTGATGTCTTATTTTCCACTCTAGGTCAAATGTGAAACTTACTGGTTGGACGGAGATATTCTTGATGTGGGAGGATTCCTGATTTCTGTCACCCAGAAGCTACAGAGATCTCACTGGACCTTCAGGAAAATAAACGCCACGTCTAGAGAGGTACCAGATTATGTAACCGTCGGAGTTGTCGGAATTTTTGATGTAATACAAACAAAGCAGTTGTTTGCTATGTTAAATGTTTTTATTTATGTGTAGACTGGCGAAAGTCTTGTCGTGAATCACTTCCACTTTACGGTGTGGTCGAATGACAGCACCGCAGATGAACTCGCCCTGGCGGAGTTTGTGTTCCGAGTAAGAAGAACGCCCGACCCGAACAACTCCCCCTTGCTGGTTCACTGTAGGTAAGTGGCATTGTCTGGATGTGCAATCACGATGTCACCTATTGTTTGTATGATATCTGTAGATGTATCAGAACATCAGTGGAACAGTCCCCTCCGTCCTGACTCTCCCACAGCCTCAAAGATGGAAACACTTAAAAAACATCCGCGGTCGTGAAATGTTACAATCTACTAGGTAAAGTCAAATGTTCTCCAACACTAAACAATCTCAAGACCAGCCTAAAACACTGTTGGTTAAAACGTTCTGCTGTCGTATGAGACTTTCATTTATCTTGTCAAAGATTGTCTGTATGTATATGGCTTCAACCTATCATTTTGAATTATCAAGGTCTACAGTTCAAACTACCCTTGTTTCAAACATTCTGCTGTCACTGGGAACTTTCATTTATGTTGTCAAAGGTTGTGTGTGTGTATGTATATGGCTTCAAACTATCATTTTGAATTATCAATGTCTACTGTACATGGGGGTTCATTTAATGCCTCACTTGGTCATTTGCCTTTATCACCAGCGCTGGGATCGGCCGAACAGGGACATATATCGCTGTGGATTATCTGCTGGATCAGGGTTTCACTGATCACAAAGTGGACGTGTTCGGGGTTGTGAATACAATGCGACAGCAACGCCACAATATGGTACAGAATGAGGTAAATAATTGATATCTGTTTTGAATATAATGTAAATTCAAGGCTGAAATGATTATTACTATTATATTCACTAAAATATGATTTTGTACAGTTGTCACACCATATACAAGTTTACCTTTAACTGACCTCAGGAGTTTTGGAAAAGATGGGATATGGGGCAGCAGTTTGTATCAAAATTACTTTGTTCTCATGTAAAGCCATTAATTGTATTATATGTCACAGAGTCAATACCTGAGCGTGTATACCACTCTGTGTGAAGCACTCCTGGTCGGGGATACGGCCTTGCCCGTGGCAGTATTTGAGCAAGGAGCTGGTCAGGGTACATTCACTATGGGGAACATCACAGTACCTCAACTAATACAGGTGATAATAATAATTTCCAAAATATTCTTAATTGTCATTTAGATCCATTGATGCAGTAAATTTATGTTTTTAATAACTTCACATTATATCATAATTGGTATGAATTTGATCACCTGGATTTGTCTGTGTATTGACAATGGTTTTATATATATTTACTATTCAGAAACTAGGAAGAGAAAAAGGAAATGCCGAATCAGGTAAGAATAGCGGAACAACACTTGTCACTCTCAGTCATGTTTAGGTAAGTCATATACACATGCATGTCCTCACGTTCATTTTACGAACACTGTTGAGATAATTACACATGCATCTCCTTGTTCCAGGAGGCAGCTACAGGAACATTGTGTATATAATTAACACATGAATCTCCTTGTTCCAGTAGGCAGCTACAGGAACATTGTGTATATAATTAACACATGAATCTCCTCGTTCCAGAAGGCAGCTACAGGAACATTGTGTATATAATTAACACATGAATCCCCTTGTTCCAGAAGGCAGCTACACGAACATTGTGTATATAATTAACACATGAATATCCTCGTTCCAGAAGGCAGCTACAAGAACATTGTGTATATAATTAACACATGAATCCCCTTGTTCCAGAAGGCAGCTACAAGAACATTGTGTATATAATTAACACATGAATCTCCTTGTTCCAGAAGGCAGCTACAAGAACATTGTGTATATAATTAACACATGAATCTCCTTGTTCCAGAAGGCAGCTACAAGAACATTGTGAGGGTGAACGGGGGAGCTGATGCTCTAACAGTCATGATGCCAGTATGTAAATGTAAAGGATCTAAATATGATACGTATGTGTGTTAGGGTAGGAACGTTTAAATTAGATGCAATCTGTATCTGGGATAACTTTCTATTAAGATACATACTGTTGTGAGTGCTAGTCCTTATCACAGAATAGTTGAGTTAAGTGCTTGTTATTACACGCAAGTTTCGCAATATCAAAAGTGAATAGTGAATTCGGTTAACGCCACTTGCTAGTAACAGTTTGCAGTTATAAACCGGCGTGTCAGATTCATATGGTATATAAATCCAAAGGGATGCAGATGTATACTAATTTGATTCAACTATCGAGAACAACATGGCGAATCTGGTAAACGCAACTAAGATCAACCCAACTCACTCACCAACACGCTTGTTTATACTTAATATGTGATTCAGTCTCGGCATAGGGGCTGTCCCTACCAAATAACTATTGAACTTTCAATCCTGTTCTTGAACATTTCAGTCCCGACTCTCTCTGAAAGGATACCTAGTAACTGAAGCTCCCTCCGTCACCACGGCGGCTTCGTTCTGGGAACTCACAACTAGCCACGACTCTTCTACAGTCATAGTTCTACCAAAGTCACAACAAGTGAGACACCTTTTCTCTTCTTATAGTGTGAGCCTAGTTGAAAGTCTACCACACTGACAATAGTTTCAGCTGAATAGACCGTTCTCATTAGGGTAATGAGTGAGCCTGTATATGTGATTTAGTACACACATACATACATCAAGTTTCTGCGTTGATCCCAATGCATTTAATTAGTTGAACTTTAGTAGGCCTTTGTTGGTATAGAGATACGCTATCCCTGACAGCAGACAGCAGACAGCAGACAGATGACTTCAAGCAATGGCTTCTCTACCCCCACTGCTCTACAGCAGACAGATGACATAAAGCAATGTTGGGTTGGTTTACAAGTACATTGTAGGTGTTCCTGGGTATAGTACTAGACTTCCTCCACTACTCTACAGCAGACAGATGACATAAAGCAATGTTGGGTTGGTTTACAATAGAGCGTGTTTAGGAGTAAGGGACTCAACACCACCTAAGTATAAGGTTTCTTCCTGGTTGAAATAAATTATGAATAAAACTAGATAAGAAGATAACCGAAAAAGTCATTCGGTGTCATAGTAACACAAGGTCTTTCGTTTTTCAGGGAACTATGTTGAAGATGTGTGAATTATCAGATACAATTGTGTCGTTTACAAGACTTTAAAACATCTGTGCTATTGACTTATTAACCATGTCAACAAACAGATGCTGCCCTGTTTCCTGCCACCTTTGGGGTCCAGCCTCCACTTGACTCCAGTGAGCGTGGAATGTTCCTCGAAATATGATATCAGTCCTGACATCGTTTTGATAAATGTGGAAAGAAAACTGGAGGTAGTATAAATTGATTTTGAATGAATATCTCAGTTAAGTAACAAAGACAAATGACTCTCAGTCAGTATGAAATTCAATAAAGTTCAGATGTTCAATAAATACATATTACATATATAGAGAGATGGACATGTTTCCATGTTATAACTACATATTACTGCAATGTCCTGATTTCACGAGGAGCAGTACCATATATCCAACACAATACTTGAGAAGGTTTGTATGTAAATTGCATATCATTACAAATTCATGATTTCACTGGGAAAGGTAGCCTACGGTATTATAGGGCGTTTTAACATTAGGCATTGTACTTTAAGGGTGACGTTTCCTCTCGGCCAGTGCGCGTGTATCTGCTGAAGACCATCAACCCAAGAGTTGTCCTTGACCTTGTGGCAGAGATGGAGTCACGAGGTGGAGCAACAACGGCACAGCCAGTTACAATTATGTTTGGGTAATTATGTACTGGGGATTTGTGGATATAATATATTCGGTTTTGTTGATAATGTATATTTTGCTGTTGTTAACATGTCATAATGATTAAGAACACAGCCAGTTACAATTATGTTTAGGTATTTATGAATAAGGGATTTGTGCAAATAACATATTCAGCGGGGTCGGTATTTTATATTTTACTGTTGATAATTACGGATACGTATTTCAGAAGTACATACTTTCCTAGAAAATATTCACAGCAGGCTGTATCAACTGGGCCAGGTAACTTTTATGAAACTCTTTCACTGTGTATGAAATTGAAACAATACATACATTCGACCGATGTATTGGATAATGCAGTTACTAATTGTCCTGATTGATCAAGAAATTCACATTGAACTTTTGTTATTTCTCCTCTATAAAATATCAAAGCAAATAGTCATTTTATATTTTCAGTGAGGGCGAAAGGCGAATGGCGACGTTGTTCTGCATCCTCAGCAACATCGTGCAGGGCATGAAGTACGACAACGAGGTGGAGATCTACAACAACATCAGGCGACTGGGGCATCTGCATGTCAACGATCTCACACAGGTACATGTAGGGACGGTGTGCCATGAAAACACAGGGATTAATGAAGTGCCACTTACGTCTTACACTTCGAAAATATACTCATATTGTACACGTCAAACGTTGAAGGAACTAAAGTGTATTGCAACAAAACTTGAATAAATTGTAACCTTTACTTTCCTCATAGTAACTATTGTTAATTGTTCGCTTTATTGGCTGGAAATTCTCGTAAATTTGACTTTTGTACTGACTGAACAAGTAAAACCACCAAACCAAAGCATAATGACGCAAATGTGATTTTTTTATGAGCCATTGCAAATTTGAAATTAAGGACAAGGCCATTTGTCTATGTAGTACATTTACCACTCTGTGTTTGCAGGATGAGATATCCGTTTGTTACGACCTGGCCTCGACCTATCTAGAGACGGAGAATGTGTACGCCAACATGTGAAGCACACCATCTGTAAAACACATTCCACGTACACTGTTGGGCTTCGCTGTCTAATGTCTTTGTGATGAAGAAATCTTATCTCGTTATGTTGGGTCAGATCAGCATAAGGAATCGTTAAATATGTAACCCTTGATGTAGCAATCTACACATCACGTTACTCAACATCAAGGTAACTGCAACAGAATATCTAGACATCCACTATACCACTATATTTAATGTGTTTATAGTCCAATGATTAGTTAATTGAGAGTAGTTTGCTTCTTTGTCCAGATTGAAAAAATTGGATATTGAAATACTGTATGTGTTGTATGTTCAGAAAGTAGACGCTGTAGTAACTGTAAGAGAACATGTATGAAGCTATTTCAGGGATGTTACGGGATTACTTAATAATTGGTATTGACGTGTTTGTAAATAATCATGACTTTTCTTTACACATTGCAGCAATTGAATTTTATATATGAATAATATATGATTTGATTTGTGTGTACATTATTTCATAGTGATGAAATATACTGTCACATGCACCACTTGATTTATTGATCTTATATGACTTTGTTTATGGATTTGAACGTTTACAATTTCCACCATGTGGATGCTATTATGTTATTGCGTACTACTAAACGTCACAGATTATGCTTGTTACGGTGTTTAAGTTTATCATCAGAATAGACGACATGTAATATCACATTTTATGACTGCTCTCATGCCAATAGTTTCTCATTGTATTTCAGTTGTTTCTCTGCTTATGATTTCAACTGTTTTTCGGTTTAACTCTTCACATATAACTTGTTATAACATTTAATCAGACGCCATCTATAGACATGTGCCATTTCAGAGATAGCTTATGATTATGGAAAGGGTTTTGTCGTGTCATTGATTGGAATTCAAAGGATTGATGTTTAAAGGTTATCTTTCCAACATGAATGTATTTACTTTATTGCTTTGTATTAAACACCAACTTCAGTACTTACTGTGTTGTGTATCTTGTTTCCTCGCTCATGCTCCACGGCTGAGGTAGTCGGACAACCTTTTATATCATCTTACACTATGTAAATACAAGTCAGGTGCGGGTGATGTGTCTATTTCCAAGATAATGTCGAATTGTAACAAACAGGAAGATGGAAGTTTCTTTTATCAATTCCCTATTTGACTACTTGTACCATATGTTCCCGTATTTGATCACGTAAACATGTGACTTGCTTTGCATGTATCTGTGACAGATGTCACCGGTGGGGCAGGATACACTCACCTTTTTGATAACGCCTGGTGGCATCACTCTTTGATATTTTTGGCATCACTACTTTTGCTAGACTCTAAAGCCTGTTGACATGTCCATTTCTTTTTTGTACTCGATCTCAAAGCTCTTAATCCACTCCGAAAGACATTCAACGGGTTCATCTCTTCGTTTGGCCCCCGGCTCCACAAAAACAAAAATAAATAAATAAAATATACACAGAGATATATACTACTCAAAAGAAGTTAGGGATCAGCAGATTCTTTCAAATTACTATTGTTAATCTGTAATGGCATGAGGGATACACCATAGTAATAGAAAAGCATTGGGTGGTCCTTAACTTCTTTTGAGTAGTATATATTCCTCGGTCCAGCAAATGTCCCACTAATTTCCTGTATTAAAGATTAACCATAATCCTTAATATAATCAAGTACAAACATTCTTTATTTTCCCAGAAAACATTTGAAACATGTGGAATTAATACTATTTGGATTCTCAAAAACTTAAAGAATTTGCTTGAAATTTTTTTTGCAGTCTCAGAAAGAACAAAGTTCAATTCAAACATTTGATATCCAACTTTGTACACCGATATCCCCCACGAGTAACGAAATTCTGTGATCCATGGTGCTTTTGTAACAAAAAGTATGGACTATAGACTTTTCACTTAAGCTACATGAACTGGTATACTGATAGGTAAAAGACCCGTTCATGATAAGTACGGCAGGCTGCTCGAAGCATATCGTTAGCGCCTGTATTCAAAATATGTGTTAATATAGATCAACTCGCTGTTAAGAGGATAACTAAACACGTCATCTTTACGACTTGAATGTTTGATCTTTCATTTTGTAAATGACAGCGGAACCACAGCAAGATAAGCGTTACTTGTTTCGTATATATCGTGACAGGAGTAGGAGTGCCAACAATATATGCAGTCTGTTATATCCCTTTGGCTCTTATTTTTTGAGCTATCATTTTACATATTTGTCCCCAGTTATCAGTTTCTGAATTCTGCATGTATCTCGTTTCTTTTGTGTTTCAGGTACTTTACAGTGCACACAGGGAGTTATTTGCCACACTTGAATGAAGTATGCTTGGATGTCCTGTCAAAAATGATAATATTGTACATCATCGCCATGAATAATTGTTATACTAAATGTACTTTGTTTGGTGAAAAATCACAAAACGACACAGACAGTGACCGTGAAATATGTCAGTGTACGCAATGTCCGATAAACAAGGAAGTAAACATACTACGATACAATCAGATTGATCTCCGGTGGCTACCCTGTCTCACAATACTTTGGCCCGCCAACACGCGTTCGACGGGCCAAACCACTATAGGTCAACACTGCTAGCTTATTGCTACTCGCCAGCACATATAGGACAGGTGGGACAGATGTTGTAGCCGAATAACGTTAGTCTGTTATCACTGCGATGCTGTTCAACTGCAAATTATGTCGCATGTTCAACCATTTCAATGGGAGGGTACTCTAAATTATTAAACAAGTGAAGAAGCTCCATAAAATATTTGCTCTTGTAAGAGTCCTGAGAGACTTGATTGCTCGTTTCAAAATCTTGAAATGTTTAATGCCAGGCCGTAGAAATTTTCCAGGAACGACCGACCGTAAGACCGACTAAACAAAGGAATGAACGGACGAAAGAATGAACGAATGAATGAACCAGTGCTATGTGCAGCAACATTCATTCTCTCATACACTCACTAATTACTTTAACAAGAGACCAATCTAACTAAAGTAACCTCCCACAGAAGTAACTTACACTTTGTTTAAAACAAAAAAGGCTAGGTTATGTGGAGGCTCATGATGGAATGTACCTGGAATGTGTTAAGACAATCTAGTTTCACATATTGAAGTTTATTGGTGTCACAAAAGTCTTTACCATATTTCATTACCTGTGATAAAAGTTGCACTTGTTGTGAGGTCAATACTTACACAAACCAAGGGGCCTGTATCTGACCCTTAAACATTATTGGCAAAACCCTTTCCATATTCTTCAGAACCAATCAGAGTCGATTGTACGATTACGACTATATCGTGAGTAGGTGTTTATGAATCACTATCATTTAGTGATGATACCAGGTATTTGTGAAAAGGTGAGCGTATTCTGCAACACCGATGACATCTGTCACAAACACATGCAAAGGCTTGTTCAATTGAAAATACACGGGACGTTATGGTATAACTAAAACTGGACATATTTTTTGTCAATGATGCGTTACAATTTTTTGTCACTGATGCGTTAAAGTTGTTTGTATATATTTGTTTCAGGTTTATAGAGGGTTGTGATCGATAATCCAGATACCGGATTGCGAATATATGTATAATAACGTTACATTACACCCGACACAGAGGGGGAAGCTGTCGTTTGCTTTGGTAACATTCTTTTCATCGACTCTGTGTCTGACTTCCTTTCAAGCGGACGAGATATAGTATAATAGTATTTAATTGCCATAGACCTCGAAACTAGGCCAAATAGATGTTATGTTTGAAAGCTATTACAAGTTGACGGATGACAAAGTAGACACAATCTATCGATGACAGTATTACAGTATTAAAGAAGTTGTTATCAATCAATTGTGTCGACATTATCAAATAAATGTTTTATGGTTCTGTTCCAACAAATTAAATTTTAAACCTGCTTTCGCCAACATGGAAGTACAGGCTGCAACAGACGTGCCTGTCTGCGCAGGTCTGTGTGTGTTTGGGGAGATGATGACAAGCAACAGACGTGCCTGTCTGCGCAGGTCTGTGTGTGTTTGGGGAGATGATGACAAGCAACAGACGTGCCTGTCTGCGCAGGTCTGTGTGTGTTTGGGGAGATGATGACAAGCAACAGACGTGCCTGTCTGCGCAGGTCTGTGTGTGTTTGGGGAGATGATGACAAGCAACAGACGTGCCTGTCTGCGCAGGTCTGTGTGTGTTTGGGGAGATGATGACAAGCAACAGACGTGCCTGTCTGCGCAGGTCTGTGTGTGTTTGGGGAGATGATGACAAGCAACAGACGTGCCTGTCTGCGCAGGTCTGTGTGTGTTTGGGGAGATGATGACAAGCAACAGACGTGCCTGTCTGCGCAGGTCTGTGTGTGTTTGGGGAGATGATGACAAGCAACAGACGTGCCTGTCTGCGCAGGTCTGTGTGTGTTTGGGGAGATGATGACAAGCAACAGACGTGCCTGTCTGCGCAGGTCTGTGTGTGTTTGGGGAGATGATGACAAGCAACAGACGTGCCTGTCTGCGCAGGTCTGTGTGTGTTTGGGGAGATGATGACAAGCAACAGACGTGCCTGTCTGCGCAGGTCTGTGTGTGTTTGGGGAGATGATGACAAGCAACAGACGTGCCTGTCTGCGCAGGTCTGTGTGTGTTTGGGGAGATGATGACAAGCAACAGACGTGCCTGTCTGCGCAGGTCTGTGTGTGTTTGGGGAGATGATGACAAGCAACAGACGTGCCTGTCTGCGCAGGTCTGTGTGTGTTTGGGGAGATGATGACAAGCAACAGACGTGCCTGTCTGCGCAGGTCTGTGTGTGTTTGGGGAGATGATGACAAGCAACAGACGTGCCTGTCTGAGCAGGTCTGTGTGTGTTAGGGGAGATGATGACAAGCAACAGACGTGCCTGTCTGAGCAGGTCTGTGTGTGTTAGGGGAGTTGACTACAAGATGTAGGCTGGTCGAGTGCAGTTCAGACAAAAAGAGAAACACAGTAGGAGGATTTTTAGTCACTGATGGCTGATTTTGATCTGTTAACTTTGCCATGATTCTACATTTTTTCTAAAATGTTTGATCTCCAAACAAAGCACATACTCACTCGCTGTAAATGTTTCAGGTTTCATCAAGTTCTCATTTCCTTGAGTTCAATGTTAAAACCTGCACATGGAATGCGATACTGCATGATTATTAATACACAGCTTGAAAACAGTAGTTTTGTTTTAATTTCCGCAAACATGATCTCGAGAATGCTGTAATAGTCTATAAGGGGCATCAATCATATCGAATGGTTGATATTCACAGTTTTATATTATATATATCCTAAAACTACAACACGGAACTTTTAAATTTAGTCCCATCGAAACACTAGTCAGCCTGCCACCGTTGTAATATAGTAGCAGTGCCCAGGAGTATGACGGTACAAGGTATTTCCATGTACACCCAGGAGTGTGACGGTACATGGTATTTCCATGTACACCCAGGAGTGTGACGGTACATGGTATTTCCATGTACACCCAGGAGTGTGACGGTACAAGGTATTTCCATGTACACCCAGGAGTGTGACGGTACATGGTATTTCCATGTACACCCAGGAGTGTGACGGTACAAGGTATTTCCATGTACACCCAGGAGTGTGACGGTACATGGTATTTCCATGTACACCCAGGAGTGTGACGGTACAAGGTATTTCCATGTACACCCAGGAGTGTGACGGTACATGGTATTTCCATGTACACCCAGGAGTGTGACGGTACAAGGTATTTCCATGTACACCCAGGAGTGTGACGGTACATGGTATTTCCACGTACACCCAGGAGTGTGACGGTACAAGGTATTTCCATGTACACCCTGGAGTATAAAGGTACCAGGTATTTCCTTGCACACCCAGGAGTGTGACGGTACAAGGTATTTCCATGTACACCCAGGAGTGTGACGGTACAAGGTATTTCCACGTAAACCCAGGAGTATGAAGGTACAAGGTATTTCCATGTACACCCAGGAG